CATAACTGTCAGTCTGAATTTGGAAGTCCCAGAGTAGCTTGATGTGTTCATTTTCTGTAACTTTTTCAGGCTTGTGATCCCACCAGTTCTTTGTCACAGGCAGATGGTATTTGTAGCACAAGTTCCAATGGATCATTTGAGCAATGGTATTATGCCTCTGCTTGTAGTCCGTCTGCACAATCTTCTTGCAGCAGCTGAGTGTGCAATCCATCATTTTGTCTGCCTCCTTGTAGAGTCTACATTTGGAATCTGTAGTCGACTTTTCAATCCTGGCTTTGATGGCATTTGTTCTAACTGCTTGTTCTTGGGCTGCAAGAATCAGGCCCTCAGTCTTCTTTTTCAAAGTTCCTTTTGTGAGCCACACACATGTTTTCCCCTTATCAATTTTGCTCTCAATTTTCCATAGGAACTCTCCATGGAGAAACTTCTTTTTTCTAGTTTTCTCTTCTGCTCTTCTTTGTATTTTTACGGTATTCACTCTTTGTCGTTTGCTCTTTAAACAGTTTTCTGCTATTGACTTCCATCAATGTTGATTTTTGACAGTCTTTCACATAATCTGCCAGTTCATGTTTCTCTTCTTTTACCACTTGTTTCATTTGCAGAAACCCCCTGCCTGATATTATTTATTTATTTATTTATTTATTTATTTATTTATTTATACCCTGCCTTTCTCCTGTGGGGACTCAAGATGGCTAACAATCCACGAGTACTGGATATATATATATATATATATATATATATATATATATATATAGTTAACACTAACAGAGGCTACTAGTTCCCCTGAATTATATTGGTACATACACACATACCCTCTTACTTCTCAATACACATTCACACAGAGAGAATAACAAAGGAAGAAATAGGAAATTAATCACAAGATGTCTAGACTTGCTTCTTTTTGTTTCTTAATGGAACTTTTTGCTGTGAGGGAGAGACAAATAGATGATCCCGCTGAATACCCTGGATGTGTTTAAGTTGTAGAGCTTCATAGATGAGGACAAGAGGGGTGCACTAGACTCATACTTAAATACTGGCCTTTACATTTGACCTAGCAGCAAATCCAATTATCAGCCACTCTTCTGTATTAAATAAAGAAGGTTGCCATTATTTGGGACCTTGTCCTGTTATCAATCTCAGCAAAACTCACAGTGACCTTATAAGCACTTGACGGTAACAATCAATACTGGAATGTAGCTCACACTGACCTTTCGCAAAGGATTAAAAATGATCTGTGGAAACTTACTTCAGAAACATCCATGCTTCAGAAAAGACCCATGTCACTGGCCTCTGGATGATGGTAATATTCCCTTCCAATGGCTCTTTCCGTTTTGTTTACTTCTCATTCTAATGGGGAACTTCACCTAGGTATGATCATAACCACCAGAGATCAACAAATATCATAAGCAGAGAGTCTTTTGTAATCCCCAGGGCCTCACTACACATTCAGTTCACCACATGAAAAATAGGGTCTAATTGTTCCGTGTTGTGAAGGAATTTTCATTGAAGTCATAAGAACAAGAAAGGTGATACAGATGGCTGACTTTTCCCTCTTGTTATTTCCAGTTATTTCTCTTGATCATCTTCTTTGTATTTTTTTCTCTATAGTTTCCTTTGTTTATTGAGGGAAAGCCTTCTGAAAGGCCAAATTGTTTTATGGTGGATGTAACATACAGACTGATTGTTAAACAAAAGGCATGAATCCTTTTGGTTTTTCTTAACTAATGCAGATCCATTGAATCGATTGTTGATTGATAAATCAGCATATAGTTCAGGGCTGGACAACTGTGCAGAAGGTTAGGTCTACTTCTCTCCTGCACCTGCCCAGTGGGACACATGCCATCACTTCTACTTGCCACTTTGCTCAAATAGTAAAGGTAAAGGTAGTCCCCTGACATTAAGTCCAGTCATGTCTGACTCTGGGGTGTGGTGCTCATCTCCATTTCTAAGCCGAAGAGCCAGCATTGTCCGAAGACACCTCCAAGGTCATGTGGCCGGCATGACTGCATGGAGCACCGTTACCTTCCCGCTGGAGCGTACCTATTGATCTACTCACATTTGCATGTTTTCGAACTGCTAGGTTGGCAGAAGCTAGGGATGACAGCGGAAGCTCACGCCTCTCCCCGGAATCGAACCTGCGACCTTTCGATCAACAAGCTCAGCAGCTCAGTGCTTTAAACCACTGCGCCACCAGGGGCTCCTTTTGCTCAAATAGGAGGTAGTTTAAATCCCCTTCCTCAAGCAAAAAAAAAAATGAGAGAAAAACTACCTCCTATTTGCTCATAGGAGGTAGTTTTTCTCTCATTTTTTTTTGCTTGAGGAAGGGGATTTAATAGTATTGAAGGTTATTAGGGGAAGCAAACCAGTGCATTTTCAGGCAATTCAAGTGGTTTTGACCAAGTCTGGGGCGAATCATTGCTTAAAATCACTCTGGAAAAATATTGTGTCTGTGAAGGAATTCTGGATGGGCCAACAAAGTGTTTAATACTCATGCCTGATTTAGATAAATCCAATTAATGCAATGGATTTACTCTTCTAGGGATCAACAAGAGCATTAAGGTTAAGGTTTAGAAGTGCAGGCAATTCACACATTTAACATGGAGCTGACTCATACATTGCAAACAGCGCTTTCCCATGCAATTGCAAAATTTTTGTCCTTCACGAGAAAGTAGTCTCATTCTGATTTGGAAACTCAGAGTCACTTATCAATAATCACCATAACAATGCCAGTTTTGGTCATATGCACCTAATTCAATATTTAGGAAAAGGTCAAAAATATGTCTGTAGAAAGTTCAGAAACTATGATAAGATTGAATTGAGAAGAATTTCACAGTTTGGGGATCATTATATGCAAAATTCATGCATGGTTGTTTTGTGCAGAAAACAGATGTTTTTTTTTTTGTACAGGAACAAGCTTTTCCTTCATAAAAATCCCACATGCAAATTTTATGCAGAAGAGGTCTTGAGCTGCAATTTGTCTTCCAAACCACTGCTAACATTAAAGTACAGGAGAGCAGATCCCACCTTAAAATTAGGAAGAACTTTCTGGCTGTAAGAGCTGTTCAATAGTGGAAGTTTATCTGCCTTGAAGTGTGGTGTAGGCTCCCTTTGGAGGCTGGATGGCCATCTGTCAGGAATAAATTGTTACCTGTGTTTTTTCTGCATAGTGGGGGGTTGACTAGATGGTTAGTGTGGTCTTTTCCAACTCAGTGTGCCCATCCAGACAGTCCCAAAATTCAGGACCTTTCTCAATTTTTACCGGAGGTGGTAAAAATGAATTAATTTGGAACAAACCAAGATTCCCTTGGTTTTTTCTAAATTAATTAAGACCAAACTTAAAGGCCCAAATCTAATAAGGTATTGGGTCTATAAGGACCGATTTCCGGAGTCACGTCCTGTTATCCGGAGGTCTGTCTCCACTGCCATCTCCACTGCCCTTTTGGGCTCCTGGAGCTCGATGTCCACCTCCTCCACCCAGCGCCCCATTTCCCCCTAAAACTAACTAAAATGTCCCTGGCCACCATAAATTCTTTTTGCATTCTCCAGTCAAGAGAAAATGATGTGCAAGGAGATGTGGAGGCAAGGAGGGATTTTCCTCCTCACCCCTTCCATCTCATAAGGCTTCATTTTCTTGCACCATAAGAATGGGACAAAATAATTTACCATAGCCAGGGACCTTTTTAGTAAGTTTTAGGGAGTAGATGAGCAGCCACCCTGATTTCAATTAGGATCACATGTAGCCACCCCACCCCTTGGAAATCCTGGGATTTGAGGGGGGACAAGAAGTACCAAAGTGGTCAGGTTTTAGGGCTGTCTAGAAGCATCCCGTGATTCTATGATTCTACTAATTGCTTTCTTCAAAAAAATGATTCAGGGATTGCATCTCTTGCTCCAAATTGATTTGATAAGTATCCTGATTATAATGCTAAGAGTGTTATAATACTCTGGGTACATTTTGCCTAGCACTTCATTTTTTCCTGGGATGGCATATAGAAATAAGTCTAATTTCAGTCTCTTGCACAAAATAGCTGTATTTTGCACCCCCAAAGCAATAATTTGCATTCTACTCATATTGTTATTTTAGTAGTGGGCAGAGGTTATAATATAGATAAGGAGCGAAATAACTTATTTCATTTTTTACATGTCAGGACAGGTGCAGTATGCCCATTGTGTATTAATGCAGGCATTGCTCAGTTAATAACACATCTGATACTGAAGCTTCTTTTTATAAAGTCTTTGTATGGGAGCCTTCTCATTTTTCACTTTTCCTTACTTTGCCTTATCTAGAAGTTTCCTTTTTTTCAGCACTACCATTGAGAACTTAAATGACTGGAGAAAGACACTTTCATTGTTGGATTGTGGCAGTGTGTCTGCAGTAAACAACAATAGAGTCTGATCTGGGAAATAATGGGATTCTGTTCTAGATGATCCTACTGTAACTGTATCTGCTTACATACAAAAGACTATGAAAACAGCTGCTTCCAAAATTATGTATTGAACATATATGAAAAGAATGGATCAGTGGTGTAGAATATTGCAGTTTGGTAAGGCATCAGCATTCTTTGGCAGAGAAGGATAAAGACCTTATAAAACTACAACTCCTAACATAAAAAAACCCCTGCAACTCCCATGATCCCATGGCAGTTAACAGTGGTGTCAATCTGCATTCATTCTACAGTGTAGATGCACTCATTTTATTGTTAATGGAGTTAATCCCAGGAATATATCACCTTCATTAACTGATGTATATCTCTACAAGTAAAAGATCACGACTGCTATGCTACTTGAGTATCTCTTCCTCCAATGAATACAATGCAAGCAACACCATTTTCAGACTCTGACTAACCTTGGATATCCACAGGAGACATAGCAACCATGTACCAATAATATAAAGCAGTTGTCAGTGAAACTAGAACATACTTATCGTTGGAGTTTTACTGTATCCATAGAAACTTTAAAAAATAGTACTATGGTAACTAAAGAGAGCCCTCCTTGTTTTCAAAAATATCATAACCTGGATTCATTAGTCTTACATGGACAAGACAGTTTTGGATTATTTTTATTGTTAAATCACCTGTAATGCCACATGGTAAATCATGTCAGAAACAGAAAAAGCTTTGATGATCATTTGTTCAGATTTATAATTATATCCTCTATTTCAAAGGGTAGCAGGTAGGGGGTGGGATGTAGGGTAAATCAAAATACAACTGGACATATGTAATTCTAGTGCAATAAGGGCAATTTTGGAAACCAACTTGGATACAATATGTATCAGTCTTGTATTGAGTTACCCTCCTTGTTGTTATAGTTGACAAAAATTTCACACAGCTTGGTACGTAGAATTCCATGCAAGCAAATAAGTGGGGTGGTGGAAATGGAAAGAGACAGGCTATGATACATCTTCCTTTTGTGCCTTGAAACCAAATGAGCTATCGAAGGTGGTGTAGTCCACCTCTGTGTGTAGGACCAGCCCTTATGGAGTTACCTCCAGGTACCAGATCATGGGTGATGGCATCAGCATGTGTGTCATTCAGTATTTTGTGGTCCTTGAGATATATTGCTGTCTTCAGGTGTAAAAGAAGACACTGTCCCATCACCCATGATGAACAAAGATTCAGCTTCATGTCTAGTTGGCTTTTGTGCATAGATGGATAGTAGGTTACCGCTTGTTCTTCATATCAAACGGTAGAACAATGGAGAGGTTTGAGTTTAGCATAAAAATGTAGGTACTGGCTACATTTTAAGATGCTAATCTTTATCAGATGACTCATGTTAAAAACTATTTTTGAGGGCATATTTAAACAAGGCTGGTAGATAAAAAATACAACAAAATCCATCAAATGGTAAGACTTTCTCCCTCTCACACATTCAGAAATAGAAGTATGTGATAAACTGTCAACAGCACAAAAGGCTGTTTTATATTTAAGTGTACAATGAGGTGCCTTGAAACAGGAACTCTTCCTCCTTCCCTCCCAAAAAGTTAAAAACAAAAGAAAGATCACAACTTTGCAGATTTTTTGGTCCAACTCAAAAATTTCCTTTGCAAAATGTAAACAAAGTTCTCGATAGTATTTGGGTGTGCTGCGTACACATACATGTGTACGTAAATGTGCAGGAGACAGCATTTCATCATTTATTTCCCACCAAGGCAGCCTCAAAGACTTCGAGTCCTGCTTTGAAAGAAACCTGAGCTGAATTTAAGGTGTTGAGCACTTTTGACAAGGCTGCTTGAAGAGACTCATTTGACTGATGTAGCTTGCAGTGTTCCACCGCCTCCAGCAGTACTGAAAATTGGTGCGTCCTTTCATCCAGTCTGTAAAGAATGTTTCTAAAAGAGAACAATGAGAAATGGTAAATGCTTGACTCAAAAAGATGGTAACAGGTATCTGAAAATCATCTGAAATCATCGATGATACCCCCAGGTGGCAGCCATGTTTTACAAATGATACACATTACCTACTATAACATTAACCCCCGGCAAGCTCACAAGCTGAATGTGTATATTTTGTCTTCTTTCCCAGAAGTGTGCCCCTTCATCGCTCCAGGAGCGTCTATCTACAAATCTTATCAAAGGAAACATCGTCAATCAAGATGAAATATATATCACAAGCGCAGTTATGTGACATCCCGCACAGCTGCTAACATTTTCTCATTCAGAAAAAAATAGCGGCCCAATCCCATGCTCTGTAGCCTTTACCCTTCACTGTGCTGTCTCTTTCCCCTTTAGCATTAATGGATAACTTATTGGCACCATACGGCAATGCTCCAAGGAATGTCCTGAGTATTACTTATTGTTATGTCAGGAAAACTGGCATTACATGGTTGGGACAGCAAACAATGATATAAGATATGTAAATATCAAAAGGAGATGACTTTCAGAAAGATTGGATTACAATTTGGTGTACAGTAGGATATTGCAGTGATAACTCACACAGTGACTCATCCTTGATATGCTGCAGAGGAGTTTCCCTCCTCTAGTCCATGAAGCATTTGAGACTAATTGGTTTGCTTCTTTTACAGAGACATGACATGTATTTCATTCTGTTGCACAATATCAGTTTTTTCCTTCCATGGAGCTTCTCACTGAACTAAATGAGAATGTTTCCATTTCATACTCTACTGTACTACTGTACCGTCTATATTCTTCACCGGCCTTCCCACACAAATCCCTGAACAATCTTTTGTCTTCAAAGACTTGCAATCAGTTATCCACTCGTATTCATCTGCTTGCAGTTTTAACACAATGCTAAACTGTCTGACATCCTCTTTTCTTTTCTTTTCTTTTCTTTCTTTTCTCTTTTTTTCTTTCTGCTTTTTTTTTTGCCTTTTTGCAACACTTTCTGCATTTCTCCCTTTTTAACTTTGGGTTGGTGATTCATTTATGATTTATTCAAAATCCATTGTTAAAGTCAATTATTTATTTAAAGAGGGATGTTGCAAAATACAATTTGGCACACCAAGTAGATGTATCAATGGAAAATAAAACTGTTACAATTAACACTAGCCATTTCTATTCTAAAGGAAAGACTGTGTTGTACCAAAGAGGCTAAACATGTGCAAAGTAAAAGGCAGTTCCATAATAGGGAGGCTATGACCAAGAAGACTTTGTGCCTCTGTGAAGAAATAACTATCCAGTTAGTTCAGCCAATGCATTTAACATTAGTTGTGTGCTAACAACAGTTAAGGTGGTATCAAACTGTATTAATTCTACAATATAGATGCATCTATGGAGAGCTAGTGAGAGGTCTCCCTCATTCTTTTCACATTGCTGGTTGCTATGTATCTGAAAACAGGTGTTTCCTATATGAGTCTTACTATCTTTGAGGGAATGATTTTTCCCTATCCCAAACCTTTTCTGGCTCAGCTATTTATTTGATAACGTAGATAAGAGCCTTCTTAGTAACTGCTCCTAGACATTGAGTCTATCTTCCAAGGAAGGCTCAATCTAGAATCACAGAAACAGAACTGGAAGAGACCTTGTGGGTTATCCAGTCCAACCCCCTGCCAAGAAGCAAAAGAATCGCATTCAAAGCACCCCCGACAGATGCCCATCCGGCTTCTCTTTAAAAGCCTCCAAAGAAGGAGCCTCCACCACACTTTGAGGCAGAGAGTTCTGCTGCTGAACAGCTCTCACAGTTAGGAAATTCTTCCTCATATTCAGGTGGAATCTCCTTTCCTGTAGTTTGAAGCCATTGTTCCACGTCCTAATTTCTCTATACTGTTTTTTCTTCACTTGGCAGTCAAAGACCTTCCTATTCAAACAAGACTTCAGTTGTAACCAATCAGGGTAGGGGGATAAAGAATTAGGTGAACTTTTCTGAGTATGTTATCTGCATTTTACATCTTTAATTGTTTTAACTGCTAACGTTTCCAATGTAGTATTTTAATTGGATCCATGGTTTGCATGCCATACTGTTTTGGATGTTCTGTTTTAATTTCTATTGTAAACCACTTTGATTTCTACTTAGGGGAAAAGTAGAATATGAATAAACAAACAAACAAACAAACAAACAAATAAACAAACAAGAAAGACACTGGTGTTTGATCTTGGAATAGAGAATACCAGGGCTTTGTTTGGCTGGCTGCACTGTGTATTTGCTTCTTCATTTGGAAAGCCACTTCAAGCTTTCCCATTTTGTTTTCTCACTTGGCTATGTCGTGTGCATCAGGTATTGATCAGGGCTTGTTTACACTACATATCTACACTACTATAGTCCACTCTACTTCCTTAGGCAACATTCTAGTGAATACAGGAGTCTGGTGAGGCAATAGAACTTACCTGAGAATTTAAATAACCCTCTCAAAATTTCTAAATCCCCAAATTCCATAGTAATGAACCCTGGCAGTTAAAACATAATCAGAACACTATAATTATGTAGTACAATTTCCTTTGGTTATGATCTCAATACTGTATTTCATCGCATAATATCCACACTTTTTATTCCTCTTTTTAATGGAAAAAGGGGTGTGTGCTTATTTTATTATGTGATCCAAAAGGTCTAGGGTAAACAACAGCTTTGTCTGTCTGACCATCCACCTGCCCTCTTTCTGACATGGTGCTTCTTTCACTCACTCACTTGCTCACCTACCCGCCTGCCCCCCAACCATGCTTTTGGACTTAGCAGCAGGAAATGTCTTGCCCGAGTGACAGTCAAGTAGCCAGGTGGGTAGGCAATTGAGTGAGCAAGTGAGTAAGTAAGCAAGTGATTGAATGGGTGAAGGAAGCTCCGTGCCTGAAGGGAATGGAGGGCTGGCTGGCAAAGCAGTACATTGCAGCAATGATCAAATCTATGACTATTATGTGATGAAAGCAAACATTCTGATTTTGGGACCCCAAAAATGGGGGTGTGACTATTAAGCAGTGGTGATTATCATGTGATGAAATACAGCACACACACTGGATCTGTACTGCACAGGTCCATATGAAAACACGTCACATGCAGATCCATTTTTGAGTTTATATGTAAAGGCACCCCATTCTTCATCAAATCAAACCATTTCTTCTAGCAAAGCAGGATCAAACTTCTAAGTATATTTATTACAAATATAACAGCTCTACACAGTGGGTTTCCTTTAGGCTTTGGTGGGTCTGTTAGAGCAGGTAATAAATGTTATCTTAAAGTAGGTATAGTCATTATCCTAATTAGAGCAGTATGTAAATATCATAAATCTCTACCCAGGGGCACCTTTGATTGCAAACCAAAGTGGTGCGATGTTGAGAAATACTTTTTTAAAACCCATGGTCAATGAGTGATTACAGGCAGGGCTTTATCCTCAAATGCATACAAAAGATTTCATAAAACGACTGCATGGGGGAAGGAGAGAAAAGAACAAAAGAAAGCCGCTCAGCCAAGGCACTACATTAGTAACTTAATTACATGACAGGCCCAGTGGCAACTCCAAATTAGTAATAAAACTGCCAGCGATAGTCACCCAAAAGACTACCAGAGTGTATTTTCTGCAGATTACTATCTGAGCGCCATCTAATTACTATTCAAAGAAAGGGATTGGCTAAAAAAAGAAGAAGAAAGAAAGAGATGGGATAAATGGCAACTTAGAAAATGTTTTCCTTTATAGCCTTCCATGTATAAAGAGCCCAAAGAGTCATCATAACAGGATATTTAAACATTTCCGTTGCTTCTTAACTGTGGTCAGATACAAAACAAATACATCATTGTAGCAAGGCATTGTAGAATATACAGAACAGCAACGTAAAGTCTGATCTACGTCAGACTAAGACAAGTAGCATCCTGGGGTACAATTTGTTGCCCTCTCTGTTTTTCCATGACCAAAAGCCAAGTAGAGTGAAGAATCTTATATTGAAGGCCCTTCCAGGACCCTTCCAAACAACCATATAACCCAGAATATCAAGGAAGAAAATCCCACAATATATGCTTTGAACTGGGTTATCTGAGTCTACGCTGCCATATATTCCAGTTCAACACAAAAAATGTAAGTTTTTATTCAGCTGTGTAGAAGGGGTCTCAGACAGGTCCCCTTCTACAAAGCTGTTTATCCCAGATTATCTGGCAACGGGGACTCACATAATCCAGTTTAATGCAGAAAAACTGGGATCAGATCCTGGGATATAGGGCCTGTCTGGAAGAGCCCTGAAATATCTCCTATGTTTGAGGACTAGCTGCTTAGTTGAAGAAGTAGAGAACATTTGACAGACAGATATCTAATACTTCCCTGCTTCACCTGTTTCCATTAATAACTGCTGCCTGAGGAAATCATCTCATCCAACAAAATTGTAAGGCCAAGCCTGACCTGACATTTCTTTTGGTGACAATAGCCACACAGATACCAGTGTGAATATTTTACAACTGAAATGCAGTGTTAATGACCATTCCAGCTAGAATAAGCTCTTGTTTTACTAAAGTAATATTCTTCAACTTTTTGATGCCTTGTAATAAATAATAAGTGCATCTAATTACATTATATTACATAGTTACAACAATTGAATATTACCAATGACTATGATTCCATCCTATGGAATCCTAGAATTTGTAGTCTGTTGAGACACTTTGAATCGTCTGCTAGAAGGCTCTAGTGTAGTCATTCAGAAACAGACTTAAGCCCTGTAGCAAGAAAATGCTAAAAATTTCAACAAACTTTGAGCCGTGACAATTAGGGATAGAAAAAAGAGGTGTGACAATTAAGGATATTCAGAAAACCCTTTTGAGCATCAAGAAACCCTAATAAAGAAGAATTTTGTATTGACAAAAATCTTTACAATTTACGACTTATTCCGTGCACATGGTTGTTTTGTGCAGGGAACAGTACTATTTCAATCCATAAATATTAATTTTTGCATAGTTGAAAAGT